CAGGGCAATGCGATAGACGCTCGAGGAGAACTCGCCCGTCTCCAGGCTGCCACCAAACAGATACAAGTGATCCCGGGCCGTGTTCAGAGTGTGCCTGGCCACGGCAGGAGGCTTCAGCTGCGACCTAATGGCCATTTGTTTCCACTTGCCGCCACTTTCCGTATTATTGTACTGCCAGAGATCGCTGTAGAAGCTGCCGTTGGCATGTTTGCCACCAAAGATGACGAAACCGCCCGGCACACGATCCGCTGCATGGCCATAGCGGCCGTGCGGCTTGTGATCGGTGACCTCCTCGAGTATATCCTCCAGATATTCGTTGAGTTCCTCGTCGGTGGAATTGGCATTGACTATGGTGAGCGGCAGGGAGGAGCGTGTGCGTCGCTGATGCAGATTCGATTCGGCCAGCGTGTACAGAATATTGCGAAAGAAACTAACATCGCTATTGAGGCCCCACAGCTTGGCCTCGTCCTCGTTCTTGTGCTGCAGCACAGCCTTCAGCAGGGTATGATCGATCTTTTGCGGATGATAAAAGTGTCGCCGACTCTGCAGGGCAATGCCCCACTCATCCTCCCACTGACTAGTGCTAAAGCGATAGATCTGAGGGTAAAGAAAATTCTAAATTTAGTTTACAATTTAAGACTTTTACCGGCCTTTGCTTTACCTGCAATGTGCTTATCACATTATTCAGATCATAGCCACCAAACACAAACAGTGCATCCTCCTCTTCTATGTAAACGGCGGTGTGTGCTGCACGCGGTGTCATGCCCTCGGCATCGGTGGCCAGCCAGCGCCAGCTATTGCCATGCGGATCATCGCTGAGATCACACAGACGGCCGCTGTAGCCGGGCGAGCAATGGCATATGCTCTTCTGGCACTTGCCACGACCCTGACTCTCGCCACACTTCTGGGGACACGCCTCATCCTCACAGTCGGGCCCCACCCACTCGCCATGGCACACACACTGATGACCAATGCATTTGCCATGATTGTGGCAGTTATTCAAGCAATTTGATATGTAATAAGAAGCGCGAAAGCCATCCAGCACATAGTTGGTATCGCTGTACATCAGTATCAACATCTAAGTGGTGGTGGGGTGAGAAATAATCAATATTTACTTATTTATGTACTCTGATCTGTGCATCACTTACACTGCCACTACGGGCCACCAGTCGCTGGGGCTGTGTACGACCGCTGAAGCTGCCCAGCAGCGTGGAATTGAAGGAGTCGCCATCGTACACATAAATATAATCGTAGGAACACTCGGTGCCCATGCTGTGGAATGTCAACGTTATATACTGACTATCGTTCTTCGCCTTGATCAGCCATTCGCAATGCGAGTCCTGGGTATAGTTGAAGCCGGATGGGCCATCGCTGATCTCGCCGTAGGGTTCGGTGAATACTTTTCGGCTACGATCGCATGGCGCTGGCGGCGGTATGTGCAGTTGTTGTGATTGTAGCGGCGATCGCAGGGTGATTATCCAGAATGTCAAGGTTGCCAACAGCGCGTACATTTTTTGCATTTTAATTGCTGCTTTCACAGCAGCAGCAGCAGCTCAGCTACACTTTTTTTTATGCAAATTTTCAACAGCAGCGCTTACTGGCAGGGAGGCCAATGGTACTATTTACATCCGGATTTTGCCAGCTTTGCTTTGCTCCTGCGTGGTCTTACATTGCATTGAACTAGGCGCCTGGGGGCCTAGGTCACTGGCGTGACCGAATTTAACAGTGAACAATTTTATTTTACTGGCAATTTTTATTTTTCGCTAAAAATTGGTCGAAAATATTCCGATTTATTTAGAGTGCGGGGGGGAAAGTGGTCGCTGGTCTTTAAATACCACAGTGTGGCCGTACACTGAGAATAAAAAATATCAAATACTAAACTTTTCGGATATTTTTTAGGTACAAATCTGTTGGTATAATAACATGGGTGGACCAATTCAATTTACGTCAATTACGTCTCCATCTGTTGCTGCTGATAGTAAGACACATTTGCTTGGCAATAAAATATTAGAGAGCCCAGGATATGCCCGGGGAAGAGCGACACCAACCGAAGAAGTGCATTTTTATTAACTTTGTTTAGTTTAAACACAACCAAACGGCTGTCTGAGCAGCAACCGAACGGAATGCAGTGCACACCTTTGGTCACACTATTGGCCGCTGCTAGAATATATGACATATTTTTGCTAGCAAACAGTTTTTGGATCTGGTACTGAGCTTAAAGAAAAGTCTTTAAAAATAAGTAATTAAGTAGGTAAGTCGAAAATTTATTCATCTATTGGGTAAAATAATTTTTTCAGGAATCACAGTCCTAACTAGCTAGTGATATTAAATCGAATATCAAAATTGAGGAAATTAAGTCGTCGCGTCCATCGGTATATATAAGGTATTTTGTATATTAGGGTATATTTTTTAGTGTCAGACGGTATATTTTGTCGTTAAATCCGCTACTGATTCCTTCTAGAGCTGTCAAACGAATGATGGTTGCGCCATCAATAGTTTTTAATGTTTTGAAAGATATCGTGATAGTATCGAGCTCAAATAATTATTAATTTTTAATTTTTTTGTAGTCGATATTTACTGGTTACTAACCTGATTAAATAGAGCGGGGCTAAGCTATTTTTTTTCTCGGTTTCCGAGGTTCCAGTCCCACTCGACAAAACAAATCAAGTGAAATATTTATTTTTCCATATATTTACATTTGAAAATGACCGCCAATCTCATTTAGCGCACAAAAATATCGATATTATTCGCTCCCAAATCGTGGTGGTTTTTAAAATTCGCTCTCAATTCGTGGTGGGTTTTTAAAATTGGCTCTCTTTTCAGTGGTGAAGAGAGCATTTTTTTTGACTTTCCCCTCATTTTCGTGGTGTGAGAAACATGTTCTTAACGGGAACGCGTATGGAATGAAGATTCATTGTTGCGTCATTCCCGTAAGATACATTTGATTTGTATGGGAAAAATTTCAGCAACATGGGGAAATGAAGTAGCAGTATTGTTGTGCAACTTTGGCACGGAATGAGCAACAAGTCTGAATACCTTGGGAAAATAGATATTATAGAATAGAGATATTGTTTGTAATTTCAGGCTCCAATTAATGCCAAAACTAGCCAGTCTCTTTTGTAAAGACATAAACGAAATTTTTTAGCTCACAGGTACCAATAATAGGTATCAGAACCGGGATAAATGTATATATATAAAACAAAACATATGCATTAATAGGTAAAAAACATGTCAATCTAGTATAAAATCATAAATAATGTTTCAAAATTAGCATCAATTAAAAGAAATAAGGTATACAAAAAGTACATACGCATAAAAGAAACTAGGTTGACCAGCAACACTGACGTCACATTTAGTCAACATTTACGTTTTATGCTTTGGCCGCTTTTGTTTGAACCTTTTTATGTAAACAATCCAATGAAACAGAGTTCTGAAAACTAGCCAATCCTAAACAAAATTCATTAAGGAATTGGATAAAATTATTTTTTTAGGGCTTTTTAGGGCTTTCAAATCACAAAATATCATGGTGTGGCAGCCTGCAGCAACTACGAATTGCACGAGTCTGGCAGCGCCACAAAACGCCGACACATTAGTTTTATGTTGTTTTTGTTTGAACCCTAATATGTAAATAATCCAATAAAAAGGACTTCTAAAAACATGCCAATCTTGTAGAAAATTTATGTATCTATCGGATAAAATTATTTGTTTAGGGCTGAGAGTCCCAGCTAGCTAGTAATATTAGACGGGATATCAAAATCGAGAAATATCAACGTTGAATGTTTTGAAAAAATAATCGATACTATCGTGATAGCTCTAATAATTATTAAAAAACCATTGAAACCTTTTAGGAACTTGTCCATTGTAAAAATTAGATGCCACCTGTCGATTTTTTTACAAATGTGTCTTCGTATCTTATAGCAGACAATCCAAACATATTAAAAGCGCAACGACTGTAGCTCGATACTATCATGATAGTCTCAAAACCATCGATAGTAGAGGCTAGCAGCAACATATCGATACTATCGATAGTGCCCTCGATGGTTTGACACCTCTAATTCCTTCTTTTGGCCTTTCGTATATGTCAAGATGGTATGTGTTTAATTTTGCTTTCAAAAATCGTGATACATCCGCGTTAATTATTGTGGAAATCATGTAGAAGTATTGAAATCTAACAAAGTGCAATGTTTATTGCTCTTTGATGATAATATTGTGTTTTATGTTGTGCGTTGAGTGCGTTCTATTTGATTTCGAAAAATATGTATTTGGTTTGCTTGCATTGCCGGAAATCTAATCTGCTATGTTCTTGTGTCCCCCCACCCCAGGTGAATGTACCAAAACAACGCCGCACTTTCTGCAAAAAGTGCAAGGTCCACAAGCTGCACAAAGTGACGCAGTACAAGAAGTCCAAGGAGCGCAAGGGTGCTCAGGGCCGAAGGCGTTACGACAGGAAACAGCAGGGTTTCGGTGGCCAGACCAAGCCCATCTTCAGGAAGAAGGTAAGAGCCACCTCGCCAATAGAAAATCGAAATTAGTTTGCACTTCCAGTAGACCTAAATCGCTGCGCTCATGGAGCATTCGGCTTTTTGGTGGGACATATGGTGCAACAGTAAAATTTGGCGGCTGCATCGAGTGCGGCCTTAAAGGCAGCGTTATGTCGTCCTCTATATGACCATAATCGCCCCACCTGCAGCTCCAGACAATCTTAATTAGCTACAACTCTGAACGTTTCCATTGCTAACGTGTTTTTATTGTTTCTCATTTGCAGGCTAAGACTACCAAGAAGATTGTGCTGCGTATGGAATGCACTGAGTGCAAGTACCGCAAGCAGACTCCTCTGAAGCGTTGCAAGCACTTCGAGTTGGGAGGTGACAAGAAGCGCAAGGGACAGATGATCCAGTTCTAGACAGCCACCCACAACGTTCTTTTATATCGAAGTGTTTTAAGTTGTTTTCTGCACCGCGCTTATGTAGCGGCAAATAAAACAAATTAAATTGTAGACGTAAGCTTTAGAAAAATGTTTAATTTACAAATGTAGCAATAATTGCTATATCACAATACCGCCTGTGTGCTGCTGGTCCTACAGTTTTTGCATCTACTCACGGACGCCATCTTCCAGGATTCGATTGGGCGTACTGCAATGGATGAAAACGATAAGGATCAATATGAGCTACCAAGGCCAATTCATACGCACTCCAGGAGCTGTGAATCCAAGCCCTCGGTATTCATTTTCTGCTTAACGGCCGGTGCTGGTACTCCAACATGGAGCATTTTGAAGAACTTCATATAGCGAACATCCTCGCATGCTCGCACCCCCACCAGCTCCGGCTCTTGCTCAGTCTCAGGTGGTTCTTCGACTGTGGGCGTTGGGGCTTCATCAATCTCTGGAGTGGCCGGCAGTGGGTTCGCTGGACTGCTTGTGACGCTATCCGTGTCGTTGTCAGTGGGTATGGATGCCAGCTTTGCTTCCAAAATGACCAAAGAAGCCTCCGTCTTTTGTAATTGCCGCTCCATTTCCACGAACTTCGTTTCACAGCCCAAAGCAAATTCATTGAGGAAAGTGCAGGTACTTATTAGGAAATGGTTGACAAAAGCCAGTATCCGCTTTTGGTTAAGAGGCGGTATCTGCAATAAATCAAGTGTTAGATGGATGCCAGCCGTCAGAATGTGTCCTGTTACCTGTGTTTTATCGACATCGCCTGTAATTGTTGCATTTGCATCCATTTTTTAGATATTTTTTTATTTTATAGACTAGAGATGGCAAGCTACCGATGAAAATATCGATAATTGTAATCGATGGTTGGAATATTTAACTGAAATCTAATTTTTATTTAATTATTTTAATTTTAATTAAATAAATTATCAGTGTGAAATAAAAATCCATCTGAGCAGCACACTATTGTGTGCATTCGACGCATCTCGAAAGCATTGCTGTTTTAAATGTTTATAATCAATTGGTTTTAAATATTTTATTTATTCGCTTTATTATATCTTAACATGAAATGTGTGAATCTGTTTATGGTATTTCATTGATTATTATGTACGTTTTTTGTTCGATTTATTATAAAAGTATTTTTATGTTATATTCCATTCCATTCCTTATTATTCTTGGTTTTCTGTTTTGTTTTTTTTTTAACTTTATATGTCTGTATAAACTTATGTGCTGGGATTATATTATTCCTTTTGGGACCTGCAAATCTACAATGAACTCTTTTATTACGACTTAGTTAGGTTTAATGCTACTCATCATGTTCTCCTCCTCGGTTTTTACCCCATCCACAGGCTCCTTAATCATTAGTCGGAATTCTTAATTTCTTTTGTTACAACTTTCTTGCGTCTCTGTCATGCAAACGAATTACAATATGTGGTGTACATAATTATAGTAGAATATCTCCCCGATCTTTATTTTAAAAATTTTTCGTTTTCTTACTCTCTGTAGAACGAAACTCATGCGTGTTGCTGGTGTTTATTTTGTTTTGTTTTTGTCTTTTTTACGGCAGTGGATTTGTAAACGGTTGTTCGAAATAAAAGAGATATATGTATATATTTGCCTTATTTGTTGTTGCACACAAATTCAAATCAAATCAATTATTTGCTGCCAGCAGCGAAGTCACTCTTTCAAACAAAAATAAAACGGCAAAAACATAGTCTTGAGTGTACGAATACGAATAATTTGGTGTTTTGTTTTTAACTTCTGTTCGGTTCTTCTAATTTTGGGTTTCTGAAATTTCAGACATTGCAAAACGAGAGCCAGCTGGTTCTACAACATTCCGATAAGGGATATTTTGGGTTGGGATCGTGGATATCAAAAGGCAAGTGCACGACTCGGCACACACGGTTTTCATTTTGTAAAACTTTATTTTAAAATAAAAATACATGGTAATAAAAAAATCAAAAATTTACAATTAAAATTAGAAATCAATAGATTTATGTATATGTAAATGTATATATCTGCTATATAACTGTGTGTGGGTGTGGTTTGTGGGTGTCATAATCATAATCGAATCATATCTCATCCCTTTGGATCGCTCTATGGATATCCAAATCGGTGCTGCTGATACGAGGGTGTGTTAGGGCGGGGGTTAGCAATTGTAGCAACTAAGGTGTAAAATTAAAAAATACATAAACTAAAGTAGTAGAGGATTTTGCTTGGTTACCATCGCATTTCGAATATCAACTTGTATTTTAGGGGGGCGTGTGTGTGTGTATATTTTGGTGTGTTGTGTGATGGAGTGATGTGAAAGGCTTCGCATGATAATAAATTGTAATACTAAAACTAATATTGAGTTGCTCGGCTTTCACGTTCATGTCACACATCATATATCATATCATATTCATCATCTCTGCATTCAAACGTAGAGTTGCTCTTGATTAAAATTACGAGTACGGTACGCATTCCATCGATAAGCGATTTCTAATTTATATTTCAACTACGAAATCAGGCGACACGATGTTGTTTTTTTTGTTTTGTTTTGTTTTGTTTGTTTGTTTACTTTAATACTAGGCATAAATTAAATAAATAGCTTAGCGTACACAGTTTATAGCTTGCCTGCAATTATTTTGTATATCAATTATATATCATCATCTTTTCCCCCATACTCAATCAAGCATTGCATCCCATCGTTTAATGACAAAACGGAAATCATATAGAATATATAAGCAGTTTTTGTTTTTTGTTTGTTTTATGTTGCACTTAGTAATTAATAAAGTTTTGTATTGTTTGTTTTCTTGCGTGGTTTTTGAAATAAATATCCGCCTCTATCCCTCATCTCTTGGTTGTCCCCTCTAATTAATGTTAATTTACAAATTTCTTTCGCTCTCCAGCTAATATGGGTTTTAAGGTTTTACGGGTGTTATAGTATGGTTTGTGGGTCATAATGCAATATGCTTATTTTAATACTACAAAATTTGATCGTCTACATTTTTTGCGTTATGTTTTTCCACTCTACAGGGGTGAGGGTGAGTTCCAGTGGCACTTGCACAGCGACCGTGCGTGGCCTATATTTAAGAAAAGGCTTAGCCATCTCAAACTATCCACTATCGAACGGTTTTTGCCATGGGCATACAATAATAAATATATAATTTATACATATATATATTTATGTATATATAAAATGTACAGGAAGTTGAAGCAGGCAGGGCCGCTCTCTCTCAATTAGCTTTCAAACAATCGCTGTGCAAGTGCCCACCAATTATACGACTAAAACTAAAACCCTAGAAAGGAAATCAATATTGCAGAGTTTATCTCAAACAGCATCAAATTCCTTTTGGCGTTTACATACGACTATTCTCTATAATGCATCATTTTGTTGTGTCTGTGTGTGTGTGTGTTATTAACAAATACATAATGTTCAATGATGTTTGTTGTTTTGTTGCACTTATACTGTCTATGGGGGGAGGGGGAAGGGTTAGGGTTATATCTATGCCAATTTGTTTGCATTGCTTTAGAATTACTTTCCTAGATTACACACAATTCATGGTCGTACTTGACTTTTGCTTTGCTCTTCTGCTACTTTGAAATGCCGTTTATTATATTGAATTTATAGCAATTTGTTTGTTTTGTTAGTTAATGTATATGCATAATTTTGTTTTTTGTTGTTGTTGTTGGTTGTTCTTTTCGTGTGGTATAATTAGATTTAAATGTATAAGTATATATATATATATAATGTATGTATAATTATTTAACTCGAACTCGTAATCGCTTTGCTTGTGGAGCTGCTTTCTGGCTGTGGATTCTGGATTCTGCATTCTCTGAGGGCGGGGCGGGGCGGGGCCGGGCCGGCTGTGTGGTCTCTTAGACAAACACCTTGGCCAGGCCATCGGCCCCGGCACTGGCTATATACGGTTTGGTGGCATGGAATGCCACATCGAATATACTCTCATCGAACTTTTTGCGATGCGCTGTAATCTCCTGTACGCACGTCTTATTGTCCAGATTCCACAGCCGTATCGAGCAATCATGCGAGCCGGATAGCAAGTACAGACCATGTGCATCCACGGCCAGCGATGTGACCGGCTCCAGATGCGCCACCATTGAGTGCACCAGAGTGCCTGAGTTGTTGTCCCAGAAGCGAATATGCCGGTCCTCGTGCGCCGTAATTGTGATGGGCAGTGTGGGATGCGAAACCACCTTGTTGATGAATTTCCCCGTATTGCCCGACATCTCCTGTGCCGCCTCCAGCTTGATCACCTGCTTGCCCGTCTCCGTGTCGTAGATGATGCAATGCGCACTGTTGTACGCCACCACAATGTGATCCACCTCATTTCGCACAAAGTCCACGGACGATGGTACACCCTCCGCCTCGGCAGCCGTGTAGGTACGCAGCATTGGATCCTTATTGAAGGGCGACCACAATTTCACAGTGCCATCGGCCGAGCACGATACAATATTATTCTGCATTGTCGTTAGCCCCCAGACGGCGTCCGTGTGACCCTCGAGGGTGCCCGAATGTACATTCGGATCGTAGCAGTCGTAGGGATCGATATTGGGCGATGGCAGCTGCCAGCACTCGATGTTGCCATCGAGGCCGCCCGAATAGCATGTCTCGCCGCTGGTTGACATGCCCAGGCACAAGACAGGACCCGTATGGGCGCGGAACGTATACAATGGCTCCACATCGAGACTAGCTGACTTTTTGGCTTGCACCGTCTTCTGTAGGTTCCACAGCTTGAGCGTGTGATCCTCGGAGGCGGTGATCAGCACTGGCTCCTCCGGATGGAAAATGAGCGAACGAACGCCATCAAAATGGGAGCGTAGCGTATACTTGGCATTCCAGGTCTTGCGGTAACCAGCACCGCCGGCACTGCCGCCAGTACCATCCTTGGCATTCGAATCGTACGCTCCATCCGATTCATTATTCACCGTCAGTTGGGCCAACTCACCCAGTCCCAATGAGCCGTCCACTTCTGTGAATAAAATATGGTTTTAATATGGGGTCAGTAATTAAACGAGTCTCTGAGTCAGTGTGTTCCATGAAAGGAATACCAAATGGTCGATGTACGGCTTGGCGACTTCATTTTGGTATACTTTTCGATGGTTTTACACTTAGCAGCGCTTGGGAGGCTAGGCAAAAGCGCTAGTTGGATGGATGTTGGATTCTTTTTTTTTTGATCTGTTGAAAAGCACCTTCGTTTATAAGATTCATATCGTTCAAGAGCTGCTCTCCCACCTCGGCCTCAAGATCTACGTGAGCGTAGAAGAATGGAGCGTCAGCCAAAGAAACAGAAGCAGAAAACAAAACAAAAATACAAATATGACAATAATGCAGCCAGACTAAGCTAGACTTTTGATTGTTTGTTTGATTGATTGGATTGATTGCTACTACAGTGGAAGGTTACACAGTGGAAGGAGTTTTGGAATCTCTAGGGGTAAACAACTATGTTATATACGAGGCGGTGGGCCCATGCAGCGGAGGTAGGGCAGCGGAACTGGGTGGCTTCTAGCAGCAGTCTGTGTGCTTCGGGGATTTGGATCAAATTCGTACCTTCAGTCAGCATTTCCTTGCCAGATTTGGCCCGTTTGGCCAGCTTCACGTCCGTGTCATCACTGTCGGTGGCCACCATTTCCAGATCATCGGATATCTCATCATCGTCGGACATCTCTGTGGGGCCAAGGAACTCAAAGTTCGCCATTACCGCCGCCTCGGTGTCAATGATGATGCCATCGGACGCTTGTTGCACTTGTTTTTTAGCGGGAGTATGACGGCCTAATGTGAGCAAATTATTCAAATCTCCAACAGGGGGTAAATGCACAATTCGCCTACCTTCCGTGTCCGAGGCCCGCTTGTTGCTCTCGTTGCCATTTATGTTGGGACTGAGATTCTCGCCGCCGGTGCCAAGACCACCGCCACTGCCATCGTGCTCCGCATTGTTGTTCAGGCCCAGGATCGAGCGTACTCTGTTTGAGCGCACATCGATGATGTTGTCTGTGTAGCCGATCTCGGCCAAATATTGGCGCAACATTTGCCTGCCCTGCCGCCACGTGGTGTTCGACACAGAGCTGTAGGGCACTTCGGAATCGGTGGCCACGTCACCGGTTAGGCCAGAATCCTCGTTTGTCGGCTTAAACTCGTTCAGTTGCGGCGGATCGGTGCCGTACTTTAATCGATAGAATTTTGCCCGTTCCTGGCGCAGGGCATACTCCAGCATCTTGATGCGCCTCGTCAGATCCGATTTGAGACTTTCCAAACATTTGCGCTCTCCCAAAAGCATTGCAATTCGTGCCTACAAAATTTAATTCAAAGATTCGATTAGATAAGCGCTTAGAGTTATCGAGGGGTAACAAAAAAAATGCCCAATAAATTTCCCAAATACATGTAAATTTCTATCATTTTTGCTTCTATATCTATATCGATTGAGTGAAATCATAAAAAACATAAATGTTTTATAGAAGTGTTTTTCTATAATTTATTAAGCGCTCCTTTAACTTTCGCACATGGTTGCTGTCCCCCTTTTTGTTATTTTTTTCTACAGTTTCTCTACGATTGCGTCGTCTCTCGTTGCAATCCAATTGCGTTTGTTTGCGTTGCGTTGTTGTTGCTGGTTGCGGCGCATAATTGACGCTCCGCTGCGTCAAGCCAACGAAAAACAATTAAATTCAATTAATTGCTATAAAAAAAAACAAACAACAATAGACAACTGGCATAATTAATTGATGTTGTGGGTAAGTGGGTAAGCGAGATATGGGAGGGGGGTATTTAAGCCTCAGAGCCAGAGCGAGTAAGTCACTGTCTGTCTGTTTGTCTGTCTGACGGGGTTCAATTAAACGAAATGCGTAAAAACTGCAATCTAGCCGTGTCCCGCTCTATCTATCATTCTGTCTCTGTCCCTCCCATCTTGTGTTCATTCAGCAACAATGTGCAGTTATGACTGCGCAATTTGCTGTACATTTTTTTTGGGTGAAGCATGAAGGGGAGCAACGGGGGTAGGACTGCACCTGACATAGTTGCTGCAAACGCCCCTTCCCCCCTTTGCTGTGCGTAAAGGAAAGAAACTTTTGCTTTTGCTGCGCTTACTGTTAGTCACAGCGACGCCCCCTAAAAACACACACACACACACAAGAGTTAGGAGGGGCAATAAGGGAGAACGCTGTTCAATGAGGTTCGGAGAGAGGAACATTGCCAGAACTAACAACAGTAACGGTTTCGTTTCTCCCTGCTAATAGTAACAGCAAAAGTGTGTGCGTTGGTGAGAGCGGAAAGAAAGAAAGAGAGACTTATGCTGCTTTTGCATGCTTTATATACCCTTCCCTTGCTGAGAGTACTACTACTACTACAGCAGAGAAAATATACGTTTCCAGATTACAGATAAGAAATATACCATAAATATATATTCTTGATTATCGGTCGAGCTAATCGGTTTTGGTTGCCCGCAGTTTATAATTAATATCAAAGGAATGTTTAATATATGCAGCTGCCATAGAAAGGGCACTAAAAGCGTCTGCAGCCGAAGCTCCAAGCCTCTCTTTCTTTCTTGCTGCTGGGCTCCGCTGTTAATGCAAACATGTTGTGCATTTAAATGAACGCTCAATGGCATTTCGCTTGGCTCTCTTTGAGCTTTGCTAATTAAAACTAACCAGCGGATGAAGATTATGATGCAGGAGAATAGGGCAGGGCAACTTAGTACCACAAACGGGGCAGGCAGGCACGAAAACGCCACCTTAGGCCACGGCCACCTGGGCTATGCACCCAGCAACACTCACTCACGCTCACAAATTGTTCGGTAACATGCAACTGGCTTTTGTTTGCGATTTACAATTAGAAATTACAGAATTCCATGACAAATGCGCATTTGGTAACGTAATTACCAAGAAGCCTCCAAGTTTCAATTGTTCCATTAATAAAGTTTTCAGACGCATTGGCAAATGTTTTCGTTAGGATATTTCATTGCATAACGCGTGGGGGAGGGATTTTACAGTGAGGTGATTCTGGTCTGCCATAAGTATTTCCTGCTTGCGTAAATAGTCCCTAAAAACAATATTTTTTATCTTTAAAATATCTCTTGAATGAAACTGCAGAGGATATGCTCTCATGGTAAGTTTCACTGTAGCCAACAAATCAAATTAATAATAAAATGAGAATTATGACAAATTCAAGAGATGTTGGTTTTCTCTAATCTATAAATGACATCGCCACACCGCACACACACACACACACACACACACACACACACACACACAACCACAAGAAAATTTGTAAAATAATTGAAAATATATTAACAGCTGCTGCTAAGGCAGCGTCGTGTCGCCATTTCTTTTATGAGTGTTTTGTGTTTGCTTGTCAGAAGTGCTTATTGAATTCGGACAGTTATAATATAAGTTAATTGACTGACAGCCGCAGTCGGAAGCACATGTATTGGGGGGTATGTGCAGATATATATACATACATACACATGCATAGATGTATGTTTGTATGTATGTATGTACAAGGACGCTGTCCCCATCATTGCACTAGACACTGACACACAAAGCTATGTGATGCAAAGGCTTTTGCCGGCCGCCGCATGGACAGAAATAGATGCGACGACAAATGCAAAAAAAAAAAATAACAACAAAAACTAAAACGAAACCAACTAAAATGGCGTCCCGTCCCCCATTTGGAAGGTGGGTGAATGTGAATGTCGCCCAACCAGCAGCGGTCAGTGTGGTTGTCTAGTTTTCTGCCTCCAGCCCACTCGAACTTCTTTTCCTTCGTTTTGGGCAATAAAAAAAAAACCACCAAACAAGGCGAACAGGTTCATACATTTTTAGCGACAAATATGCGTTGTTAACTTGTTTCAGATCCCAGAGAAGATGCAAATCCCAGTGAGAGAGATTGGGAGAGAGAGGAGGAGGAGAGATTTGAATGTCACGTTGCATTCAGAGCGTGACGGCAAATACAGCATCGCATCCGCAGGGCACGAGCGTAAAGTGTGTGATCGATATCGATAACACGCGTCTAGCTGCTTGACAGGTGAAAGCGATAAGGCGTGTGGGCGGGGAGGGGCTATTGACAGTGATTTTACGTCTCTTGTAAATCCTGCAAGTGCACATCTATGTGAATAAAGTGAATGCAAACTCTCTGGAGAAACTCTCTCGGCTGGAAATCTCCTCCATCAAATCGAATGACTAATACAGGACTCACAGTCCTGTGACTTGCAGGATCTCTCTGCTCTATTATATCCATTCAGCTTTTGCCTTTGTGTCATTGTATATGCAACTTCCTCTCTTGGTTGACGCTTATATCCCTGAAGCGGAAAAAAACTACTGGAACCGTTGTACATACAGAGTCAGGGCAGAGCCTTCCCACTGTGTGTGCGGATTCTCTTTGTGTCTGGGGGCTTGCACCATGTGTCGTGTAGCGTCGCGTCGCGGCTTGCAAATTGGGGGTTAAAGGTTTTTCGGGAATCGATAAGGCAACCGGCCCTGCCTGCCCGGCCTGCCCCTTGGGCAGATGATGTTCTAAAGGAAACAGAGCAAAAATTCGATTACGGCAATTGCTCAGCTCGATTCGCTTGCATGCGGACGAGAACCCTCTTCCAGCTTCATCTCCCTCCTCCTCCTCGTCCAATGACATGTTCATGCATTAGCGCCTCGATTCGAAAAAATCATTGAAATGGAAAGTGAGGCTCCCACGAGTATGTAAGTATGTGTATCGTAACGTCCACGTTATGCCAAAAGGACGACTCGTCTCATTCGTTTGAGAATGACTCACCTGCAGCTCGGCCCTGTCCACATCCCACTGTGAGCGCTCCAGCTCGAAGCGAGACCACTCGTGCTGTATGAAATGCAAGATGCCTGGTATTGTGTATTGGGGCGTGGTGGCCTGCTGATTATTTGGTCCACCGCCGGACATGCCGTTGCCGCCATCGTCGTTCATGTTGTTGCCACTGCCCATGCCGGTGACCAAGCTACCAACATTCGCGTTCTGTCCACCAGAGTTGAGGCCACTGATGCTTAGACCGCCACCGCCACCCAAGCTGTTGGAGAGGACGCCGCCAATTGAGGAATTGGCACCGCCGCCGACACCGCCGAGAACGCCGGCACCCGCACCGCCAACCGGCTTATTGTTGATGCCAGCGGTGGCTCCCGAATTGGTTCCCATTTGTTGACCTAACACTGTGTTTGTGTCGCTTCCTGGTTGATGATTCCTGGTCGTCTCTTGCTGCTTGCTCGTCTCCTTCTTCTTCTTCGCTTGCCAGCTGTTCGCGCCGTTTTCCGCTCGCTCTCTCCACTGGGTGGTTTGCTCTCAATTTCTTCGTTGACGTTTTATTGCTTTTTGATTGAAATTAAAATTGTTGAAATTATTTTCTGTAGCTAAAATTTTTCTCTTTTTTTTGTTTGTTTAGCTGCTGCTGCTTCTCTGATGTTGCTTAGCCTTGTTACTGTTGTTGGTCCTGGAGAAAAGCAAAGTCCTTATATGAGACAAATGAGGTCATTGAATTTTCCACAAAGCAAAAAGGAGCTGGAGAGAGCAGTAGTGGGAGGGGGCAACGGCAACGGCCGCTCACATAAGGACACTATTGTGGCTCCCATTCTATCTCTTGCTCTCTCGCACTCGCTTATGTTCTCCCTATGTATTACACTCTCTCTGACACCGGAACCGCCCCCGCCCTTGCCCCACGCGACCATTCACTATGAATTCACTCGTTTCTCTCTCTCTCTCTCGCTCTCACTCCGTTTTACGATACAACAACGTCACACGCGACCCGTACTCCAGTGATGTCCATACTTTGGTTTCCGAAAATGGCTAACATTTTAATATCATCGGATGTATTGCAATATTTTTCAGCGTAAGATCCGTTCAGATTTAATTGAATGCACTATGCTCTCATGTGAAACGGTACTTTGGAAAAACAGCTAGACATTTTGGATAACAGCACTTGACAGCACTAGCAACCATTCGCTTAGAAATTTGAATGGGAAAGAGATTACAAGACGCACACACACACACACACACACACACACACACTCACGAGAGCACGGGAACGCACGGGAAAATAGAGTATGGATTTCTGGTTTAATATTAAGTACTGCTGGAATTCAGCAGCTCGTTCAATTATTTCCTTTTGCATTGGCTTGTCATCTCCGGCTTTTCCTGGCACACACACTTTCGACGCACCGTTCGACCAATTTTTCACGTCTACTTCACAATTTTGTTTACTATTTACAGATTTTTCCTAGGAAACGTTGTTGCTACCTTTTTTTGCCCCCGTACGCATTTATGTTAAAATCAAAACGAGCGACTTAATGCGGAGAGAAGAGCGTAAATTGTAAATGGGAGACGCGAAGCAGACGACAACTTTGCTGCTGATGATGATGGGCAGGGCGCTTGCGGTCTATACGCCGCTTGCAGCTCATCTCATGCTTTTGTTCACGATTGCGCCCATTTACAATTGTGCACTAATATAATTAAATCACGAAACGAAACGAAATGTTGTGCAGCAGCAGCGCACACACAAAAAGTCGATTCAGACCCGACCCCGCACATAAGAATGTTTGGCCTGGAACTCTGAAATAACAGAGTTGCAGCGTAACAATATTTCTCTCGCTTGCACTCGCGCACCTGCAGGCCCGTCCGCATTTTTATATGGCCATCTCCCTCTACGAGTCTATATACAAAGAAAAACACACACACACTCGCGAACGAACGCATACGCAGGCCAAAGCCGAAGTATTTTCACTTTGTTAAAATTTATGCGAGTGCGGCTATTACGTTTTAGCCACATGTGGACATGTCGCACGGTTACGCTTTGCTTACTTTGCACTTTAATGCACCGCTTGGCTGTATTTAGCAATTTTTCGCTTGATTTTCATTGGTGTATTCACGCGTAATTCTTGTCTGCATCGGATATCGATAAAATATACCGAAATATACCTTCTCATTTTCATAATATACCGTGAATATACCGATATCGACTACCGATATATAATAATTTTTCGTTTTGCAACACTGAATGCGATGTTTTTTTTTTAGCATTTACGAAAAATCACTAATGCGTCAGGCGTTCCAGGACATGTTGCCGCAATATCCTCTCCCCAACTTTTTGTATCAACATGAAAGAGAAATATGTTGATTATACTTGGTTGGGGTGGGGGTATCGGCGGGGCGGTGACCCTTGGGGCAATCGAGGAAGGGGATTCACAGGGACACAACAGTTTTCCCAATGGTTGGTCCCCCCCAGAGGAACGTTCGGTGTGGGTCTCCGGCATACGCCGGACATGATCCCTACTAGGGATAAACTGGCCCACATCTAGAATATATACGTGTATATATATAAAGTTGCAGATTCCGATGTGGGCAGTCTTGTCCCACCTTTCTCTGCCATTAGTCCTGCAAGAGTTTCTGTAAATTCTAAAAAAAATTAGTTCCTAGCTGTACATACTGTACCAGCAAATCGTCAACAGACCCGACTCGGGGTCAATACATCCTTTCGACTGTACATTTATTTTGCGTTATTGCTTTAGAGATATGTTACTTACATTCTAACATCGATATGAACATGAAAAGAACAGATTCTTACTTTTTACTTATTGCGCCATATTAGATGCTGCATTTAGGAATTTTTACTGCGTAAGCATTTATTTGTTGACGTTCCCATAGATTTTCGCGCGTCCAGCAGATTCTTTTGATCGGAGCATACGTGTGTGTGTGTGCGTGTGTGTGACTGTCCCTTACAAGAACTCCTCGCACCAATCGTTGAGGCAATTGTAGCAGTCGGAGGCCTGCTTGGAACTGGCGTGGCACACGTCCTTCATCCAGTCCTTAAACAGCTCTTCATCTTTCTTCAAAACCAAGTATTGGCCCAGCACGGTGTATGCCTGCATTAAAAAGGGTTTATTATTAAAACGGAAACCTTTGTTTATTTGCGCACATGGCGTCATCAGATGTACACGCACACCAACACAAAAACATGCATCATACGCACCTTGTCGAATCCAGCTTCGGTCAAGCGGCCACCCAGCGTCTCTCCAATTCCGGCCAACTCTGTGACAGACTTGTTGCCCATGGGCTCGGCCACAAAGTTCCTGTATTTTTGCGTTGTTCCCGCCATTTCAAGTTGGTTGTTGTGTTTTTTAAAGCAGGAAAATTACAATCAACGCAAATTACAAGCAAATTTGTTCGCGGTAGAGGTGTCAAACCATCGAGAGCACTATCGAGAGTATCGATATTTTGCTGCTAGCCTCTACTATCGATGGTTTTGAGACTATTATGATAGTATCGAGCTACAGTCGTTTCGCTTTTGATATGTTTTTGGATTTGCTGCTCCAAAACACGAAGACAAATTTGTAAACAAATCGACAGATGGCATCTAATTTTTACAATGGACAAGTTCCTAAAAGGTTTCAATGGTTTTTTAATAATTATTTGAGCCCGATACTATTACGATAGTATCTATTGTTTTTTTTTAAACATTCAATGTTGATATTCCTTGATTTTGATATTCCGTTTAATATTACTAGCTAGTTGGCCCTCTCAGCCCTAAACAAATAATTTTATGCGATAGATACATAAATTTTCTACAAGATTGGCCTGTTTTCAGAAGTCCTTTTTATTGGATTATTTACATATTAAGGTTCAAACAAAAACAACAAAACGAATGTGACGTCGTTTTTGTGGCGGTGCCAGACTGGAGCAATTCGTAGTTGCTGCGGGCTGCCATACCATAGTATTTTGTGATATGAAATTCGTCAATTTTGATATTAAGTATAATATTACTAGATAGTTGGCTCTCTCAGCCCTAAAAAAAATAGTTTTATCCAACTCTTCAATCAATTTTGTTTAAGGATTGGCAAGCTTTCAGAAGTCCTTTTTATTGGATTGTTTACATAAAAAGGTTCAAGCAAAAACGGCCAAAGCATAAAACGTAAATGTTGACTAAATGTGACGTCAGTGTTGCTGGTCAACCAAGTTTCTTCTATGCGTATGTACGTTTTGTATACCTTATTTCTTTTAATTGATGTTAAATGTTTATTTTCCAAGCTCCACTGAAACATTATTTATGATTTTATCCTAGATTGAAATTTGTTTACCTATTAATGCATATGTTTTGTTATATATATATACATTTATCCCGGTTCCCATACCTATTATTGGAACCCAACATGCAAAAGTCCATAATATCCATTTACAACAGAGACTGGTAGCCCTGCAGTAATTGCGAGCCTAAATTACACAACAATGTCTGCTATTCAATAATATCCATTTTCCCAAGGTATGCAGACTGTTGCTCATTCCGTGCCAAAGTTGCACAACAATGCTGCTACTTCCTTTCCCCATGTTGCTGAAGTTTTTCCCATACAAATCGAATGTGGCTTACACCACGAAAATGAGGGGAAAGTCACCACGAAAACCTTGAAAAACCACCACGAATTGAGAGCGAAAAATGTCAGTTTTTGTTGTGCGCTAAATGAGTTTGGCGGTCATTTTCATTTTCAAAAGTATATTATTTCACTTATTTCACTTGATTTGTTTTGTCGAGTGTGACTGGAACCATATGCCGTAGATATACCGAGAAAAAAAAATAGCTTAACCCCGCTCTATTTAATTAGGCTAGTAACCAGTACATATCAACAAAAAAAAAACAATTTGAACAATCTTTGTATTATTTCGCTTAAAAAAAAGCATTTAATAGCATTTTTTAAAATATACCACAAATATATTATATCGATATTCTTGTGCGATAAGTGGCGTTTTATTTCAAAAATCGCAACAGTTAAATAAATCGGTCTCATTTAGTTGAAAGCACTGAGTTACACAAATTTAAGACGGTTGAGATGAATATCTTAATCGTAAAAACTGCCATTATAGTAGTCCGAAGGAAATTCCGTCGTCAGGCGGACAAAAAATATCAAAATTTACATAATTCGGTTTTTAGTATTAAAAACATCGATGTTACCATCGATTGGTTTCCAGCTCAGCTCTAACGACAAAATACCAATCGAGTAGCTTTCGAATGCGGACGTCCGGCCCGGCCATTTCTCCAAATTTTCTTTTTGGCTTTTACCTCTCGAGTGAAAGGTTGCTCCTGCTTTTAACCAAGGAACGTATTGGCTGCAACATTTAACGCATTCCAAGTGTGAGTTTAAACATTAAATTTGACCAAAAAATGGAAATGGAAGTGAAATTTATAGCTGCACATGTCGTGCACCAGTTTTGTGAGCAATTGGAGTATTCTTTGTGCCTGCTGGGCGTAAATTATTATATTTTTCGATTCTTGTGTGGTTTCTGCATGGTTTTCGTGTTGTTTTACGGATTTCGCACATCTTTAACGCGTCTTTAAATTGTTTTTCTCAAAAAAAAACAAAAACTACGCGTCTTTAAATTGTTTTTCTAAAAAAAAACAAGAACTTGCGACCATGACATTTTGTTTTTTGCAAGCCGCCATGTTGATTTTTTTTCGTGCCGTCACGTTTTATTGTTGTAAACTTTTCGCATGCTTATTCTTGTGGTATTTACGATGCTGCGCATCTTTTTTGATAACTAATTTGATTTCCAGAATTTGTATGTTCCCTATTAATCGCCATAAACGAAAGCTTAAAATTGCTGCATAATTTTATATATTTTTTTTTTGTTGCCAGCGCCGCCATCTTGTATTTTTCGCCGACTATCTACTGCTATCTAATCCTTTCCGATTTTGTGAATCTTTTTGTTTGATTTTCTTGCCATATTTCGGGATTTTCTAGATCTGAACGAGTATCAAATATGAACACCGTTTATGTACGCTGCCCAACAATGACCACACAGTCGCTGCACCAGCAGTCCCTGTACCAACAGACCTACGTGGATCACCATCGCAATGTGACCGACGTTTTTGTGCAGGAGCAATACTCGCAGAGGGAATTTTACACCCAACATGTGCAGCCAACAGTGTACGTGAATAATCCGTGCCCCTATGTGCCGCCCTATGTTCCGCCTGCGACACGCCCACCGATGGCATATGATCCGTACGCGAGTCAGTTTGCCTATAGGCCAACAACGGTTAGGGCACCACCCACGGCAGTTGGTTATTATTGTGTCAATTCGGGTATGTCTGCTGTACTTTGTGCCATATAAAGCTGTAATAATTTACGGATACTTCCCTGATGCAGCCACGGCAGCCTCTTCGAATGGCCGTTACATTTATCAGCCAGAGCCACGAACCTGTCCCCATCCAACGGCAAACCGGGCCTCATCCACCCCACAAGAGAGCTATGGGGCATATTCGTCCGATTCCAGTGCGTCGCTATCGCCGACATATTACATAACCAGTCAGACGCAAACGACGCCCATAAAGTGCGCAGATGCAGCCACACAGTCCAACATGGACTTGGAGGAGCTTGCAGGCGCCAAGGATCCAGAGAAGTGCGTAGAGTGGCAGGGTTCATTTCCTGTTCATTGTTGTGTATTTTCCTCCCTGTGTTTTTTTTTTTTTTTTAGTTCTGAAGCTTTCAACTTTTTGGCCATGGAACGTTGGGCCACGGACTTTTTGCGCAAACTGGCTGAGGTGCAGGGCGATCGTCGCAATTCGGAGATGAAACTACCCGAGCAGCATATGCAAGACATCATTCGATTGGCTCTACATGGCAGCGACATAGCCGAACGCGTGGCCAATACGCACTGCAATCGTCCGTGCTTCAAGAAGATCGACACATTGTGCGCCCGCCTCAAGCAGGACTTGTGCCGTGTGGATGGTGTGCTGGCCAATATTAATTCGCAGGGCATTGCCTGGGCTGTCAAGGATTTTATCTTCCTGTTCACGCGCATCATGAGCGCTTGGACCATACTGAAGAGTTACCTGTACAATCATACGGAGGGCATTAAGAAAATCATTGACTTATTGCCAGCGGGATTTATGCAGGTGTTTAATAACTGGCAGCTGGCCACCATACCCATGATTGACATGGTCATTCAGTCCATTGTCAATCTCGATGCCGGTGCGCGTCCACAGAAGACTTATGCCGGTAATGGCGGAGGCGGTGGCGGTGGCGATAATAGTCCTGGTGGAAATCGTCACAGTCATTGTCATAACTCCCCTGATGCTGGCAGCCGTCATAGCCCACCAAATGGCAATCGTAGTCCAGCTGGCAATCACTTTCGTACCATGAAGAGGCAAGAGGCAGGCAACAATCAAGACTCGCCGCCATACTATGGCAGTGCCAATAGTACGCCTCGCATGGATGAACATAAACCGTCCATGGATCAGCAGGGAGGAGCAGGAGGAGACTATCTGCAGGCAGAAGCTGCAGCAGCAGCAGAATCAATGTGCAAACCCAAAAGCTGTCAGAATCTCATTGATATGTACACGATGATCGAGAACTCCGAGGAGACACAGCGGCATGTGGATGCAAGTGGCACTTACCTGAAGACGGGCACCTACCAGCCGCTGCAGAAGGAACAAAAGTCGGAAATTATCCCAACCCGCGCAGCATTTGTGATGAGTGTGCCGCCAGGATTTACAGCATTGCCGAATCTGCATGACAAGGCCAATGAAATTGTGACACCAAAGCACAAACCCCAAGCCAAACCCAAGCCCATGCCGGATGCAGCTGCCGAATATAAATGCAAGGCAAAGCCCATGCCCGAATACGATCCTTACTTCCATGGCTGTGACTTGACGCCAATCAAGCGCCAGTCCCATGCCACAGCTGGCGCCCTACGCCGAAAATGCTGATGATCCGTCCAAGTTTATGCCAGATCTACGTTCCTATGTGCAGCCAGAGAATGCTGATGAGCCAGCCAAGCTGAGGCCGGAGCTGCGTGACAATGCCAAGCCGCCACAACCCAAGCTGGAAATCGATCCCTATGTGCCCTGCTTTGGTCTCAATCCTACGAAGACACAACCCACACCAGAACTAGAGACTTTTGCGATAGGCGACGCCATGGACGCGTACGAGACACTGTGGAAGGGAAATGCTATGCAGGAATTTTATCCCACACCGTCAGACACTATGACGCCGCCCGATATCATGACTCCGCCCGAAGAGGAAGCGACGCCACCAATGACCGATCCAGAGACCATTAAGATAAGCCTCGAAAAAGTTCAAGCTGAAATGGCAGAAGACGTCGAGCCAAAGTGCTTTGAGCAGAACACCAAAGCACACAAACAGCTGCTGGAGGATCTTGAGCCATTTGCCTCAATGCTGGGACCCTGCTACGCCTGTGTGCCGCCAATAGACAGCATGCAGAATATTAGGCAATTTATGAATCCCTACAGTCCCATCAATACCGAGGTGGCACGTGATCTAATCGAGCTTAAGGAACGTGTGCTGGAGCTGCAGAATGTGGCGCATTTCTTTCAAAAACAATTTACGCTGAATTATGTGAGTGTTTTCTTTAATAACCAAAAATGTTTAATAATATGTAAAATATTCTTTTATAGTATCCCGATTTCTTTCAACGCTGTCATCAGGATTTTATTGATCTGAGAGCCATTATACTCAAGTGCGAGAGTGGAATGTATCATCATGTCTATCAGGCTGTGCATGACCTGCGACGCATTGTCTTTGTGGCACGTTGCTATCTGAAGGTACTACTACTAATTAGCTGCCATAACCAAAGGAATACTCTGACACTTATACCACAATTGTATTTTCCATTTGAGTGTTTTTTTCTGCTGCTACTTTTGTACATTTGCTACTGGCCCCAAGGAAAACGATATACCCAGGTATCAGTATGGAGTGTGTTCGGCCTTATATATGGACTAATGTACTAATCACTGGTCTCATGCGCAGGCACTATATTCCCATATAACACACTAATCAGCCTCTGAATCTCCACCATTTCAGCCTCCACAGCACATTTTTAACATTTCATTCAATATTCAATATACCCTAACAATTCGGAAACTCTTTTGCCAAACCTTTTGCTAATAAATTCTGTATTTTTAATAGGTATATTTCAACAAAAAGCTCAGCAACTATATCGACTCGTACGAGTTTTCATTGGGCGAAATGTTGTCCAAGCCTCCGCATCAGCCGCATGAGCATGATCACATTAATGGCATACCCGGAGAGAAGGTCTTCAACTATGACATATTGTGAGTCGGTTCAAGGATAACCGCGGCCGTGACTCTTGGCGGCAGCTCAAACGTTAAACGTTAAAAGTTTTAGTCTAGTTTTGTTTATTTTTAATGTTTTTATTGGCTGACACCATTTGCCGGTTGAAATCTATGCCTTGTTCACACTTAAGTGGTTTTTCTTGTTGGACAAACAAATTTATAAAAAGCAGGAGCAGAGCCTAAAGTTAATTCAAATTAATAGTTCATTTAGTTAATTAATTCAATCATAATTTACCAGGGTTCTTTAAATTTGAATATTTTGTATTGTGTATTCAAAGTTAAAGTATTCAAAACATAAAAACAAACACTCACACAAAAGTCAAACAAATACTTGAATGACAAAACAAATCCGTACAATTTACATACGCAACAATTTACCTCATTTACAATTTTATATACATGATTTAATGCTTTACAAAAAAGAGTTAACAAAAAGTTGGTTCAAAGGAACATTTATAAAAAAAAAAGATGAATTATGCTAAAATTTTAAATTATAAATAGTTAAAAAATTATAAAATTGCGAGTAATCCCAAGACTGTTCCCATCCCTCCGTGTATCGGGATATCTTTTGCATCTTGATCCAAATTGGTTTTGCTAGAATATTTTAGAGAACTTTGAAAATTCAAATTAAATCAAAGATTTTATTCTGTGTGTTGTTTGATCGGAAACTGTTGGGTAACTCAATATAAGGGACTGATCAAACAACACAAATACAAAGTTACAAGTCCGTAACCCCTCATTCGTCACGATTGTTGTAGCCTGCCGCAGATCTTGCACAACCACATAAACATAAACTAAAACTCATAGAATACATGCTCATAGAAACCACATTTATATTTAGATATAATAATTTTTTTCAACACTTCAACTTTAACTTTGAATCTCAGAGACAATTTTCACTGTCTTTTTAGGCTATTCAGTACAAAAAAATATATTTTTCGAATTAAAATTAACATTTTTTGTTAGTGGCTTTTTGGCTTTAATAAAAGAATAAATACAACGAACACAAATATATTTATTTTTAATGGGAAATGGTTTGGGTAATGGACGCATAAGGAATACTTTACAAAAATTAAAACAAATTGCTACACTTATTTTTTGATCAAATAAATGTACAAATAAAACTAAAAACAAAATGCATTTTTTTTTATTGTTAATGGGAATTCTTTTACTAATAAAATTGACACTTCTTGTGGCTCCAAAAAAAAATATTATAAATCAAATAAAATTAATAATCGTTTTTAATTTATATTTGGCTTAAATAAATTTAAATGTAAAACTAAAAACTAATACAATTTCGTTATTTGTAAAGGGAACTTGTTGGATATAGGATTGATGAGGATTCTTTTGAGAAGACGATCATTTTTTAAAATAGTATTCAGATTAAATAAATGTAAATATAGAACTAAAACAAAAAATACAATTGTTATATTTGTAATCGGAACTCGTTGGATAGTGGGGACTCTTAAGGAGTCCCTTTCAGAACACAAAACTAAATATTAACTAAAACAATAAATAAAATTATACAATTGAAAATTGTACAACTGGTATCGACATATTTACAAGGATAAGAACATTAATTGATATCCTCAAAATCGTTTTTTTTTTTGTTTTTCGTGTGTCTCCTAATCTAGTCTAGCAAAGTCCTCGGGACTTATGTCCTGGGCCAATAGCATGCCATGGAAAATGGTCGTTGTATTCTCGGCCAGCTCCTGCGGCTTGCCCTCCTCACAGATTCGACCATCGTCTAGGACTATAATGCGATCCATGGCCTGCAGGCCACGCAACCGATGGGCTATAAACAGCAGGGTGCAGCTCTTGAAGGCGTTGCGCAGGGCCTGCTGCATGCACAGATCGGATTCATCGTCCAAGTTGGAGGTGCCCTCATCGATGCACACCACCTTGGCTTTCTTGAGCAGGGCTCGAGCGAGGCACAGCAACTGCCGCTGGCCAGCGGATAAATTATTGCCGCACTGCTCCACACGACCATCCAGACCGCCCAGCTGTTGCACCAACAGCGTGGCCGCCGCAGAGTTTTTGATGGCATGCCAGATCTCCGAGTCGTAGAAGCCATGACGAGGGTCCAGATTTTCACGCAGAGTGCCTGAAAATTCGCAGGAGTTCGCATAACAAATCAAATCAAATCAAATAAAATAAAATTTTGGCTCACCTTCAAACAGGAATGGCTCCTGGGTGATGACTCCTATCCGCTCCCTCAGCACGCTCAGCGGCAAAGTCTTCAGATTCACCTGATCCAGTCGTATCTCGCCCTGAGAGAGCGGGGCCACACGCAGAAGAGCCGCCAGAACAGAACTCTTGCCGGCACCCGTGCGGCCCACAATGCCAATGCGCTCGAAGGCCTCCGTATCGAAGCTGATGCCACGCAGAGCCGGCGTCAGATGCTCCCTGTAGCTCAGTTGAACCTCCTGGAAGCGGAGTACGCCCTGTGTGGGCCAGCCAAAGGGAGGATCGGCACTGCCCGCCGCATTCTGTTCGCCCTCCAGCTGCAGATATTGATCGACACGTTCGACGGCAACCAGTTCCTGCTCCGTTTCGGCCACGGCATGCAGCAGATCGCCCAGCTGTCCCGTTATCGAGAGCGCATAGGAGATGCACAGCCCCACCAGACCGGGATTCGTGGTATGCGAGGCTGTGATGGCGGCCAATAGACCTGCGCCACCCACCAGCAACGTGCCCAGCAACTGCATGCGCAGCGCCAGCCACTGCTGAGCCGCCGACTGTGTCAACTGCGCCTTGATGCTCTCCTCCAGCTTCACCTGGAAGTCCCGCTGAAAGCGTGGACTTGCCCGCATGCTTCGGATCGTTGTCAGACCCTGCAGCGTCTCCGTAAAGTGTGTGTACAGCGGCGACATGGCATTGCTCGACAAACGCTTGATATCCCGCGAGGCATGGCGATAGCGCTGCTGCAGATTCAGATAGATGGGCACCATGGGTATGATGACCAGACCCAGCCAGGGCATGGCATACAGACTGACACAGAGTGCGCCCACCAGCCCGGCCAACTGGGCCAACAGAATGTTGAGTATAAAAGGCAGCGAATCGTCCACAGTGTTCGTATCGGAGGAGAAGCGATTGAGGATGCGTCCCACGGAGGTGATGTCGAAAAAGTTGAACTTGGCCTGCGGCAGAAGAGCAATGGGATTACTATAAAGATTGCCAGCACATTCGATAGGAGATACTCACAAACATGACCCTCTTGAGCAGCTGTTCGTGCATGAAAATAGCCGCCTTAATGCCAGCATAGGCAAAGATGAAGGCCCGGGCCAGCGTTGCCAACGAATTGGTCACCGCAATGGCCGTAAAGATGCCCAAATAAAAGCCAGTGGTGTGACCCGTAGCCGAGTCGTTGCCCAACTGATGCGCCAGCGATGTGTCATTCGTGTGTGGATCCAGTGTCGTTGCTGTAACCCAATGCGCCAGCCAGGCATCGCTCATATTCCTGGTCATCTGCATGAGCAGCACAAAGAACAGAACGCCAAAGGCCAAGGGCGAGGTGATGGCACGCCAGTAGCAGGCAAAAACATTGCTCGAAAGATGCCCAAATTCGCGATATTCCTCGAGCAGCAGACTGTCTACGCTGCGATTGTCATCCTGATTGGATATTTCCACGGAACGGCGACGCACTGGTTGCTCCGATTCGTCTGCGTCCACATCCTCTTCGCTGAGATCAATGCTTTGGGTCATGTACTCGCTGGGTCCCAGCTGGCCATCCTTGACCTGCAGTATCTGATTGGCATGGAAGTAGAGCGGAACACTGCGCGTGACCACAATGCGGGTTTTGTGCTTCAGCAAACGGAGTATACAATGCTTGATAATATGCCTGGCCACATGGGCGTCCAGCGAGGAGAGTACATCATCCAGCAGGTAGACTAGAAACACACACAAAAATGATAAGCAAACGAAGCAGAAAACGATTCTCCTCCCACTCACCCTTCTTATCCTGATAGACAGCTCTGGCTAGAGCCACTCGCGCACGCTGGCCTCCGGACAAGGTTCGCCCATTCTCACCCACGCCAATGAGATCGCCGCCTAATATCTGCAGATCATCCTCCAGGGCGCACGCATAGATCACGCTCTTGTACCATTGCTCGTCGAAATGCGCGCCCCACACAATGTTGTCGCGTATGGTGCCACGCTGCAGCCACGGCGACTGTGGCACATAGCCAAAGCCAGTGGTTAGCTCCTGGACACAAACCTCGCCATCGGTGCACTGCAGCCCGGCCACAATGGCCGAGAGAAAGGTGCTCTTGCCGCCACCAATGGGCCCCTCGATGCAAATGAGTTGGCCCGCCTTGAAGTCCACATTGATGTCCTTGAGACGAAAGGGTGTGGCCACCTACAGAGGCAGCAGCCTCGCCGTCCTGGCTGTCGTGGCTGAATGTGGCGCCCTTCATCTGCAGCACACTGGCCTTGGGTGCATCCAGAGAACTCTCCTCCCCCGCTGAGTGGCTGCCACGCATTATGGGATTGTAGTAGCTGGAATAATCCAAATTTGGCACATCCATCAGCTGTTGCACACGGCGTATAGATACCCAAGCCTCGATCAGGCCATTGAGCACCCAGGGAAAGGCATTCAGTGGTCCAATGAGCATGTACAGCAATGCAACACTCGTGTAGGTCGTCGAGGCCACCAGCTTGTTGCCCAACAACACAGAGCCGCCAAAGGTGAGCAGGCACATCAGCACGGGTGTCGTGGCCCAGAAGTAAACGCACATGGCATCGAGATATTTACGTTTCGAAAGGAATCTCAGCTCCTCCTGCCTGAGGCCACGTATCTTTGTGATGAATATATCCTCCCAAGCATTAATCTTAATCTGTTTGGCTCCTTGCATGGCCTCCGTGGTGGCTGCAAGCCTCGCATCCTTGGCCGTCATCAGACCACTCGAATAGATGCCAATGCGTTTGGCCAGCCAACGATTGATGGGTATGAGCAGTGCGGCAAAGAGCACGCCCGCCAGGAAGGCGGCACCCAGCTGCAGATACAGCAGATACAGCGTCGTAAACAGCTTGAAGGGTATGCTCCAGAAGAAATGAAAGCTAATGCAAGAGTTGACAATCCGATCTGTGTCCGTGGACATGAGATTCAGCATATCCGGTTTGCTCTCCTTGATGCCGCGTGCCTCCAGCGCCTTGCGGTAGATGCTGTTCACCACGCCCACCCGCATCTTCATGCTCACCATGGCCATGCGCCAATCAAAGTGTGTGGAGCACAACGCAGACAGCAGCGTGCTGCCAAACAATCCCAGAGCATAGTAGTAGGCCTGCGACGAATCCGAGTCTGTGTCCTGGCCCTGACGCAGCAGTCCGCCCAGCAGCAGCGGACCCGCAAAGCCACTCAAATCGGCCACAAGTCGCAGCACTCCAATGAGGTAGAACTCCACGCCAAAGCACTTGTGCAGGGCACGCCACAGGCTCTGCGATTGCGACAGTGCCAGATGCAGGCGTTCGCTGAGTCGTGTGATATTCAGGGCATCCGGCAGATCAAACAGATCCTCGATCTTGCGCAGTTTGCCTGCCACTCCCTTGTCAATCAGCGGCTGCACCCAATAGAAGAGGAAGCGTGAGGCCCAATTGGCCTCATCCTGGGCATGACCCAAGTGGGCCTCATTCATGTCGAAACGGAAGTACGTATAGCGCGGGGAGAGCAGCGCCTCATCCTCCCTGCTGGCACCGCCACGCGTCTGACTGGCATATACGGCCGAGCCCTTGGGCAGCAGCGTAGCGCCATACAGCAGATCGCACAGCAACGTAATCAGGCTCCAGGGCCACCAGTCGTAATGCCGGCTAGTACGCAGCCAGACGCCATCTAAAACGACAATCGTCAGCCAGACGACATTCGTGAGGAGCGTGCCGCGATGACTAATCTCGCCACAGTGTCGCGCCGTCAACAGGAAACCTACAGAAGTTAAAAACAATATTGAATATAAGTAAAATCTGTTTAAAGAGAAAAACCACAGCACAGCCCCTCCTTTGTCGCACTTACCGCTGTGCACCACCCACATAATGCACTCGGCGGCCACCACCAGCATGTCGGCCGCATAGAGTGTAATGCCCTCGCGATGGAATGCAAATATCTTGGCCACGGGCAGCAGGGCCAGCACAAAGCTTATTATTGTGCGGCATGACAATAGCCGCAGTTGCGTCTTGTTGCGCACAATTTGTGCCGTCTGATTGCCGAAATTGTAGGCGGATATGGCCGCAAATATCGTATAGACGGGCAGCTGGAGCAATATCTTCTGGAAGCAGGGCAGCAGATCGTTTGTATCATTGGCAAACGGCTTCAAGCCCGTGGGACAGAATTGTGTCCAATTCCAGGAGAAACTTTTCCAATCAATATCCGACATTGTGGATCGGTTCGAACGGAGGGGGATTTCCGTTTAGTTGTTTTCCTTGGCGCCGTTGTGATAATTAGTCATCACCACCCAATTGTATTGCACATTTGTACCACTAAAACGTTTTTAAACAAAGCGCGGGGCGGACCTGATAAGGGGGTAAACCGCGGTCCCGTCTGATAATGTTCGTAGTAAAAATATTTAGCCGCTATATTCGTATTAGTGTTGCCAAATCAGCGTTTTTCCCGTCAGCTCTAGCTTTTTTAAAGCAGATGACCGAAACATATTGAAAACAGCTTGCAGCGGAATATATCTTATAATAGTGCGAATAAATAGGTGGAAAAATTTGGTGAAGTGTGGTTTGAAAGCCCGAAATTCAAAGACGGACTCTGCAAAGATGCGTGATGAATAAATCTCGCGTGTTTTGGAACTATTGCAAAAAACTTCTGAACAAGAAGTATTTATTTGCCAATTTCTTGGTCAACATACTGCTGCAGAATCTGCAGATCATTTCAGTAATATGTATGAAATTGTTGATGCTAAACATGTTTTTAAGCTGTTATACCCTGAATAGATTAGAGAGATAAGGTATTAAACATATTACAGTAAGACCAAAGCAATAAAAACATCATCAATCCGTTTTAGGTTATTTTCTAACTCTAGCCACTAACCATACAGTACTGTATGGTTAGTGCTCTAGCCACTAACCATACAGTACTGTATGGTTAGTGCTCTAGCTTTTGTTTGGATTCCAGCTTTATTTTACTCAACACTGATTCTTATGGCATGCGGGCCCAAACTCTGGCTTGCGCGTCCCTGGCAATGGAAAGAAGCAGCATTTGTTTACATTTATTTGTGCAATAAATATGACCACAGGCGATGGAGACGACGATTCGGCGGCACAGGGAGGTGGCAGTGGCGCCCAGTTAGCCCACTTGCCCACCCAATTAATGGACATATTCAAGGCACTGGCTGAAAATGACAAGATCATCTTCAAATCCCAGCAAATCGATGATCCAGAACTGCCCTTTGCCGAGAAGCAGCAAATCGCACAAGAATCCTTCGAAAAGAATCGCGAAAACTTTCTCATACGATTTGGCAGCTACTTAAATGCCAGTCAATTGAGCTGCTTCCAGTCGCTGGCCATACAGGAGCCCATCAAACCGGAGGAAAGCCTAGAGGAGATGTGCCTGCTGCTGGAAGACTTCAAGCGAAAGCTCAACACTCGCACAGTCTGTGTGAAGAATCGACGCTATCAGGCGCTGCAGCAGCTCTTGCACAAAGGGGAATACTTTAGCGAGCACGAGATGATGCAGCGGGCACCGGATCTGTATCAGGAATTGGTGGGTCAATATATGACCGAACAGGAGAAGAAGGCAAGGGACAGCTACGATGTGAGAAACACCAGCTTCTCGGGCATACTAATGCATACGCTGGAGAAGAAGCAACGCGATGAGTTGCTGGAGGGTAAACAGCAGCCACAGCAGGACGAAGAGGACTCCATGTCCGCTTGTTCCAGTCGAGCTGCACCTCAGTTATCCGCTGCTTCAGCTGCTCTGCAATCAGCCAACGAAGCCGAGGAGGAGGAAGACGGACTCCCACCTGTTGTTGCTGAGGACTTTTGAGGTGCCTGCCGCTTGCCGCCGTCAATGGGGTGAATTCGAAGAAGATGCACCCATAGCCTGTTCTACCAGTCGCCTGCTGCAGCCTCCAGCTGCGGTACAAGTCACAAAAATCTCCACTGCCGAGTACTACAATCCGGGGGAGCGTGAACTGTTGCGCAATGAATTTCTCAGCATGATGAAGGAACGTTTTCTGAGCGGTGAAGATCACGACTTTGATTACACAGCCGTAGATGATGATGCCACGTTGGATGATCTGAAACTCATCGAACAAGACGAAGAGGATGCCTATTTTGAGACCAGCGATGAGGAGGATGAGCAGCCAGAGGCAGAGCCAGAGCCAGCCGCATCCTCCAGCGAAGACGAATTGGATGTTTATATGAGGCATCTGAACAACCACCACAGTCTGCAGCAGCCTTAGTCTTTAATTTTAGTACTTAGCAAACTAGAAATACATGAAAATTTGAGTAGTAAATGTAGTCAACGATCGTTCGTTTGCTTTGCTACTATCTTGGTCTACCACGGCCACGTGGAAAACCGCGTCCACGACCCCGCAGCACCTTGCTATTCGGTGGCGGACTTTTGGGTCTTAGCAGCTCAATGCGACTGGTGCAACCGGTGGCTGGGGCCTCCGCGAAATACGTTTGATACGTTTCCGCATTAAAATTAGAGTTTGTTAGCTCCGGTCCCACCGTCAGCCAGCCCGGCCTGATGCTTGAATCGCGACCAAACACATGCAAACGTCTGCGGCCCAGACAAAAGTGTTCAATGATGTGAAAGATCTCGATGGGCTTCTCAAAGCTGCCGAATTCCTCCTCCTCGGATATAATCAAATCAATGTCAACATTCGCGTGTATAAAGTCGCCATCGGTGGAGCGTCTGACAGTGCCCTTGATGCCCATCAGGCAGTGTTCCTTGGTGCGTTGAAATACGGCCTTGGGTTCCAGTTGCTTGGAATGGCCCGGCTTGCTGATGTTTGTGCGTATCCAGCAGATGTCCTCGCAACGGCGAAAGCCCCATTTCTTTAGGCAATTACGACCCATGTCCAGACCCTCGGAAGAGCCACACCACAGAAAGACAAACGAACGATGGGCGGCAATTTCACCCACATCCAGATCTGCAAGGAAAGGAAATCATTCACTTGTGGGTTCTCCTGAGGTGTGAGGTCCTTTACTCACTGAGTATTTCATCCCAATTCCAGAAGACACGCGGTGCACCGCCCACTGTGGCCACAGCTGGCGCTGCCCGTGCATATTCCTCTAGCGGCGGCTCAATCAGAATAACATCAAATTTGGCACCCAATGTCTTGACATCCAGTGTCTTGAGATCCGCCTTCAAGTACATGGGAGCCGATGCCGTGTCCTGGATAAGCTTGTCCTTGAGTTTAATCAATTCCCTCAGCTTGGGATACTCCTCAAAACGATCGGCCAGACCCACGTCCCGTATAAAGTTCTGCGGCCTTTGGCCCGTGTCCACAAAGTGCTGGCAGTAGTCATTGTGCGGATTGGAGGATTGTGTGCCCTTTAGAAATGTCGAAGAGTCCCTGTAAATGTTTTCGCTGGGCGCATTTTTGGACGAGGAGGCGCCCCCATCCTCCTCATCACGTTGTCCGCCGGCACTGAGCTGCCGGCTGCTGTTGGTGTCCTCCGAGTTGCCCAGGACCTTCTTCAGCTCATCCACACTGCTCAAACCAAGCTGGGGTTTGGTTGGGCACATACATACAAAAAATTATAAATTTTAAGTGCACTTTTTTTCAAGTTATTTTTTTGCTTACAGTTTGGGCCAAAAGTAGCCGGCGTTTGCGGGAGCGCTCTTGGGAGCTCTTCAGTACATCGCTCATGTTTTTAAATACGATTAACTAGCTTAATATACACGGTATTTTAGACGTAAAACTTAAAAAATAAAACAAATACAAATTTTCCGACCAGTGTGACCGCGGATTTGTCAATAAAATATATCGCCTGACACTCAGAAATATACCAAAATATACCGAACAGAACCGCGACTAGTGATGGACAATGACTGATAGTTCTCATGGGGCTATCGATAAGTGCGACAGTCATCATCAGCTGCATGCCCCGCCGGAAAAAAATATTTTTATTAAAACGTTTTTTCTGTGATTTTATTGCTGTAATTAGTGCAAATTGTTAACTAATTTACTGGCAAAATGAGGCTGGTGCGCAACACGCTGCTGGGCGCGCTACTGGTGCTCGCCGTCTGCCTGATCTATGCAGCCGCACAGGCAAAACCAAAGGTTTGTTTTTGGCCACGGCCACGTCACTTTGGGCCCGCAAAGAATCCAGGAGCTGGGGGCCGGCAAAGCAATTATCCAAAAGGAAGTTAAACAATGTGGCTTCTTTCTACTTGCAGACGGGTCTCTCTTTATCGGAAAAAGTACAAAATCTGGTGGAAATGAACGCCAAGAAGCCGCTGCTGCGTTTCAATGGGCCGAAATTCCGGGAATATGTGAAAAATACACCACGCAACTATTCAATGATTGTGATGCTCACGGCGCTGGCGCCGTCACGACAATGCCAGATATGTCGTCATGCCCACGACGAGTTTGCAATTGTGGCCAACTCGTACAGGTTCTCCTCGGTCTATTCCAACAAACTGTTCTTTGCCATGGTCGACTTTGATGAAGGCTCCGAGGTGTTCCAGCTGCTGCGGCTGAATACTGCCCCCGTATTCATGCATTTCCCGGCTAAGGGCAAGCCCAAGGGCGCCGACACCATGGATATACATCGTGTGGGCTTTGCTGCTGATTCCATAGCCAAATTTGTGGCCGAACGTGTGGATGTTACCATACGAATTTTCCGTCCACCCAACTATTCGGGCACTGTGGCCATGATCACACTGGTGGCCCTGGTGGGCAGCTTCTTGTACATCAGACGCAATAATTTGGAGTTTCTGTACAACAAGAATCTGTGGGGTGCCATTGCGGTGTTCTTTTGCTTTGCCATGATATCGGGCCAAATGTGGAATCACATTCGTGGCCCTCCATTGGTGCACAAGTCACAGAATGGCGGCGTGGCCTACATACACGGCTCATCGCAGGGACAACTGGTGGTGGAGACATATATTGTCATGTTTTTGAGTGAGTTTTACAGACCCAGAGCCCCTAAAATGATGTGTGTTAATGTGTTTTAATGTTTTATTGTATTTGCAGATGCCATGATTGTCTTGGGCATGATATTGCTGATCGAATCGGGCACATCAAAGGGCCATAATAAGAACAGAATAATGGCCATGGTTGGTTTAGTGCTTGTGACAGTATTCTTTTCATTTTTACTGTCTGTGTTCCGCTCCAAGGCGCAGGGTTATCCCTATAGGTAAGTAACTCCTTGCCAGAACGATATTCCATTATTATAAGTTATATATTTTCCCCTCTTCTTCGTTGCAGTTTCTTGTTCAAATAGAATCGACTGCGCAGTGTGCCCCCCCTTACATCGTTTTGTAGTTAAAAATCTGATTAAACGAAGCACCGATTTTTTGCGTGTGTGTAAAAAAACGACTTTAATAAAATTCCACTACTAAATTATTTGTACAATAGAAAAAGCAAGTCTCGCTCTCTCTCTCACAGCAGATATGGCAGTATGGCACGACGACGCTTGGGATAGTCCTTGAAGGTCTCCTTGTACCATTGATGGCTGAGCAAGGCATTGATAGTTTGATTGCTGACCACCCACAGGAACACCAGCTTCCAGGTGCGCACTGGCGTGAACAGATCCGCCAGGCAGAAATATATAACCACCTCGAAGAACATGTGTGGCGAGGATAGCAGAGTGAACCAACCGCCCTTGGGCAGCAAATGTTGCTCCGTCTTCACGGCACCCGTTTTGGCATCCTTGCGCAGATTTACCAATATCATGTTGCTCGCGTACTGCTGATGCCAGGCAAACAGAAAGACCAGCAGGTAGATGACATGCAACTGGGAGAAACTCTTGCGCGTAACCTCCGTGGGCTGGGAGCCGCGCACAAATCCCGCCGTATTGGACAGCAGCGAGACAATGACACCAAAGTAGTGCACAAAGCCCACGGCATAGTGCGACAGATTCATTTTGCTCTGCTTCGAAAAGATTTGCACAAAGTTCGTCTCGTAGAAGCGCCGAATGCACTGCAACGTGAGCATCACTGTGCCCAGCAGAGCCGTCGTAGAGTCCACTTGCACTTTGCGATTGCTGGGACCGCCGCACACCAGATCCAGAAAGCGCAAGGCATATTCCGGCGCTGCAGTTTGGTTTGCAATGGAGGTGGCCAGCAGATACAGCGCCAGCAGGGACCAGCCAAAGGCAAAGATGTAGAAATGCTTGAACCAGGCTTTGGGCACTTCCAAGTAGCTAATTAGCGCATCGGCCTCACCCTTGTGGCTATGCTTTCCATAGCGAAACGATTGCCGTATGCTGTTCGGCAGATGGGACTCCAAAAAGGTCATCAAACTGCCAAAGAACACGATGGTTGCGATGAAGATGCAGAACGCCAGTTGTGTGAGGTTTATGTTGTAACGATCGATGAGCTCCTCCACGGAGCTGATTACGGCGAGCGCCATGACGAAATTTCAGACTGTTCTTATGCAAAAAAAATAAATTTAAATGGCTGCAAACTTTCTCCCGGTTTATCTTTTGCGGTACTTCCTAGAGGTGACACCGATGGAAACATCGATGCAGTCCCAGCAAAAGCTTTTATCAGCTAGACTTTAAACTTTTCGGAAACATCGATGTTCTATGGCGACTATCGATGTTACTAAAACAACAGAAACGCAGGAAGGTATGTGGGTAAATACCATGTTAAATTTATTATATTAAATTCTAGTACAGTGGAAGTTCGGAAATTAGAAAATTAGAATTTGTTCCTGGGGTTGTTCTAATTTCTGAAAAGTTATAATTTCTGTTAAATTTTACCATCAACGATCACCATGTTACGATAACTTTTACGAGCGAGCTTTTTTTTAAAAATCAATCATTTATTTATTGCCACTATTCAAAACTGTTCAAAACTACTTTCGATTATACATACATGCGTGTATATGCTATGCTATATGCTGTACTACAAATGTATATAAATTGATTAATACGATATGGTTCATGTGTGTGTGTGTTTTTTTTTTGTCCGGTAGGTAGTATTTGGTGTATCCATAAGATAAGTATGTTAAGCGATTGATTAGCCTGCAATATTGCTTTTGTTGTATTTTGAGGGTTTGTTTTGCTATCAGAGTATCTGTGGAATAAAGCGCTTTTCTTTTTGGTTAACAATACAGCACTCTCGGCGACATTTGTCATATGTCCACGCCATTGCGGCCCAGTGTGCCGCCAGTATAAGGCGGCGGCTTGGGACGTGGATAAATGCTAGAGGTGCCACAATCCAGCTGATAAAAGCTATTGCTGGGACTGCAAATGCAAACAAATTATTAATAATAAATAAATAGGATTTTTTGTGGATTTTTGCATACCTCTGAGAACGCATGCTGATATTGTCCAATAGATAATTGGGATCTTTAAGGCTTTTCAAGGTGTTTAGAGGCTGATCCGCACACTTGACCATCTGCACAGTGGAGGATATGGGCGATTCAAAGAAAACAGAGCTGCAAAAAAAGTCAAAGGAGTGGCTTAAATAATGGGACCAAAATGGTTTTAGTTGGGAAAAATGGAAACCAAATAAATTTGAATATCACCTTTCGGATTGATTATCCGCCTCAGAATCGCTTGGCGCTTGCGCACAAGACTCTTCGCAGATGTGAAAAATGTTTGCAAAGAAAAACTCCGAGTGCGGATCGGAACTAAAGAAACAACAAAATAATAATAATAATAATAAAAATCCAATACATTTTGTTTGATGACTCTCTGTGTGCCAACTCACAATTTTTCATGCTGAAAGCACAACACCGCCGAGAGCATGCCCATTAGGATGGCAAATATCATGCCGGGTATGGCAAAGGCAAAGGCAAACTCATCGATGTAGTTGCGCCGCGGCACATCCTCGCGTGTGATGCCCATCCAGCGATCGTTGTGCAGCTGCTCATCGCCGCTTGGCTGCTGTTCGTTCTGCTGCTTGCCGCTGTGGTAGAGTATTTCCGTGGGCGATTCCAGGCCCACCATCTTAAAGGCACACCAATCCAGCTTGAAGCCCACATTCTCAAAGATCTTTTGCACCGAAGTGCGCTTGTATGTGCAGGAGGGCAGCTTATACAGCGGACGCACTTCCTCCTGGAGCTCCTTGAGGCGTGGCGAGAACTGCGCCACGCTGCCCACATGGACAATGACGCTGGAACGAAAAAAGAAAAAATATAAATCCAATTTCTTGGCTGGATACTCTTTGAGTGCACCACTCACCCCTCACGCTGCTGTGGACGCAGCGGTAGGCGTCCGCCCATGTTGACAGCCGACTCCATAAAGACCACACTGAGATCCTCCTTGCTGCTGGGCCACAGATCCTTGCGAAAGATATTGCGCAAGTTTTCCACGCGCCCCGGATCCATCAGATGCACCCAATTGAGATTATCAATCTTCATTTGGACCACATTCGGTGTGTGAGACTTCTGGCACACAGACATGGCCAAGGCCGTGATGCGTGTCTCAAAATTCTGACGATTCAAGGCAATCACCTCGATGCTGATGGCCTTGCCCGCCTCCATCTCCGGCGGAGTGCCGTAGAGGAATCCCGCATGATATTCGTGGCTGTACTCGTAACGCATCCAAGTGGGCAGATCCGGATAGTCACGCATTGTGGGACGATAGCTGAACTGCTCGCTGATTACCTGGTGCGTCCAATTGAACAAATGCGGTTCGATTTTGTACGTAAAAAGTTCACCCACATTTGCCTGCAATGTGCCGGCTGCGCCATTGCATAGCAGCACCAATGCAACAACGATTAGGAGTAATAACTGCATTTTAGGGGCTGTCACCGATTCACATTGACATTTTAATTGACCATAAACAAAATTGCGAAAAGGCAATGAAAAATTCCCATGGTGTGTATCTGGCCGGGAGAGGCCCAGAGGAGTCTCTGCTCTCTTGGAAAAGAGAGCGCAGGCGCACTTTGTGTTTGCTGGGATGGCTACCAAACCACCTGTTGAGTTGCTGCCTCTTATAGGAATCATATAACTCTGTTCATAGTTATTTATATTGCTTTAAATTGTGGCACATTTAAATTTCAAAAACGGTTTCTGGCCTGGCAGTGTTATTCCTTTACATTTCAGTATTTCTCGTATATGTTTCTTAAGGTGCAGCCACACTTAGAGATGTGCAGTGTGAGCGATAGATGAGAATTAAATTTGATGTGGTAAAAATATAAGAAAAACAATATAAAATTAAACAAATATGAGGCGACAGAAATTAATAGTTGTTTAAGACCTTAAAGAAAGTCTCTTGAAATAAAAATAAGCAGCTTAAAAATGTTGAGCGATAGTTCTTATCTCTTATTTTCACATCTCTAAATTGTTTTATCAGCTGCAAAATTCGGCAATAAGAAATTCCCAGAAAAAATACGTGGCTTGCGCGTTTTTTTATCTCGCACAAATTGGAGAAGTAATGTCTGCCAACAGGTAGCCCAATCACACCCACAATGTGTCCCTGTTTGCTCCAGTTATTATTTTATCTGCTTGCGGCAGCAATCGCAGTGGTTTTTGTGGTATGCAAAGCGAAACAAACACACACCCCTGAGAAAAAGTCTTGTTAATTCTTTAATTTTGTACAGATTGTGACTGTGTTGCTGTATAAAACAAAACCCTATCCGAATATAGTGAGACACGCGGATGAAAAATCGTTCTTGGATCCACAGAGCATACAAACGATCGCCTTTCCCAGCATTGAGGATGCCCCAACCTTGGAGCTGAGCGTGATTGTGCCGGCATACAATGAGGAGAAGCGTTGTATGTTGCTTGTTGCCTTTTATGGAGCAGTCACCTGTGCATGAGTAATCCATCACATGATTTTTTGTACATTTTGCAGTGCCTTCCATGTTGGACGAGTGCCTGGCCTTCCTGGAGGACAAATCAAAGGGGAAATCTAATTTCAATTACGAGGTGATTGTCGTCAGTGATGGCAGTGCCGATGCCACGGTTTCCACCGCACTGCGCTACTCCAAAAAGCTCGGAGCTGAGAAGGTGCGTGTCCTGGAGCTTGTGGAGAATCGCGGCAAGGGTGGAGCCGTCCGCATGGGCGTGCTGAGTGCCCGCGGGCGTCAGTTGCTCTTTGCCGATGCGGATGGTGCCACCAAATTCGCAGACTATGACAAATTGGAGGAATCTTTGTCCAGCCTGGCGTCAGAGTGGCGACAGGATGGCATAGCCATTGGTTCGAGGGCACATCTAGAGGATGATGCTATTGCCAGTCGCAGTTTTTTCCGGTGAGCAGGGAAATAATCAGAAAACGAATTTCTTAATAAGAACTTTTTTTTCAACCAGCACCATTCTGATGCATGGCTTCCACACACTCGTCTGGCTCTTTGCCGTGCGCTCTGTACGCGACACCCAGTGCGGCTTTAAGTTGTTTACACGATCCACGGCCCGTAAACTATTCACCAGCCTTCATGTGCAACGCTGGGCCTTTGACGTGGAGCTGCTGTATCTTGCCGAGCGCCTGAAACTGCCCATGTCCGAGGTGGCTGTGCGCTGGACAGAGATTGATGGCTCCAAGCTGACACCATTCTGGTCGTGGCTGCAGATGGGCAGCGATCTGGTCATGATCTGGCTGCGGTATACGGTGGGCGCCTGGCGTATTGCTGCCATCGAGAAGAAGGAAAACTGAATTCCATTCTCCCACTAGCATTTTGAATCGAAATTTCTGCTATTTTCCGCTTTTAAATCTATTTTTGTAGGCCCCGTAAAAAAAAGAATACTAAGTATATAAGCACACAGTATTTTTGTGAAAATATAAAAAATATAACTCAAACGCATTTTGTTTGGCGCCTTCATTTCGATAGTAGTCATCGTTGCGCAGTAATGTCAGTATGTTTTGGTATATTTTATTAAAAAATACCGAATTATGGTATATCGATCAGCGGCTACAAGAATCAACCTTGCTGCAAAGGCTGCGTCGGCGCGTTTTGTACGGTTTTGATAGCGACATATGGTTTTAAATTCAAAACAGTCAAGTGGTTGCACGAAATACACTATTCGAGGATTAAGTTAATCCGCTAGAGAAGCAGCAGCTCTCATACATATATCCTCCGTCGCCGCCTGTTGCTCATTGCCTGCGTGTGTGTGTGTTTGTTTGTGATGGTGTCTGTGTGCGTGTCACAGCTGTGCCTGCGATATTGTTTATAATTTTTTTGCCTCCATGTCCCACAGGCGGTAAGTATGCAAATGCATGCTGAACAATCCGGTCGGTTGCCGTTTCCACTAGTCGTCGTAGTCGTCGTCGTCTCGCGCGTTTTGTTCGCCGCGTAAACGAAAGTGATTTGTGCCGGCTGTTCCGGGGGCCAGATCCATAAGATCGCCGCTGCCACCGTCGCGCTTTTCGGTCGGGTCATTGCTTCAAATTGCTCAATCAACGGCACTTGTGGTAAGTTGGTGTTGGCACAGTTATCACTAGTTGTTCCCGCTCCTCCATTCTCACTCTCTTTCTCCCTCTCTCTCTCTATCTCTGTTCTGTAATATCAAATTTCGTCTTTTGTTCTTTGTTTTATCAGCACAAATTGTTTTCATAGTCGGGCCAGAGCTGCGCTTTAAAATTTTCGAATACATTTGCCGATAAGCCTCTGACTCGAACATGATAATTTTCTAATCCGATTGGGTTTCCGTTTCAAGTTGGAATTTCTCCTTGCTCTTGCCCACGCCAGCTGCTGCAGATTTGTCAATTCCATATTTTAGAATAATAAACAGTATGAAAATTATTCGCAAAAAGATTCGCCACCATTTGCGTGGCGAAATTCAAAGTCACAAAAAAAAAGACAAAAACGAGTTGCCAGCCACGCCCGCTATAGCCCCAAACATGTCTGCGTATGTGTGTGTGTGTGTGCGTGTCCAGTCAGCTCGCTCTCCAGCTCTGGTCTGTTGTCTCCTGTCCCTGTCTACCTCCCCCCTCCCCGGGAAGATTTATGTACATTTTGTGCAAAGGATGCTCCACCGCTCTCTTTGCAGCGGCTCTGTCTGATTAAAGCGCTTGAGGATGAGTGTGTGTGTGTGTGTCTGGAGGGTGAGCAGATCTACAACAACAGTTGCGGGCGTCCCCTTTGTGTTTGTTGTTGTTGCTAGTGAATTTTTCGCTTTTGTTTTGTTGCATTCGCTGCTTGCAGACTTGGACGTGTCTGTTCTTGTTCTGTTGTGTGATCAGTGATTTGCCCTGGAGGCGACTCCACTCCGCCAGCTGCCTTGCTGGCTTTTTGTTGAAGTGTGATAATTCCAGAGAGTGGCGCGCATTGCTGTTCTTTCCTCTCCGTTTGTTTGCTTGCACGCTTCGTTTCCCCCACAAGGAAGAGAGACGCTTCAGGGTAATCCTTTAATCTGTTTTGTACAACTGGTTCGGCTCAAGGTCATCCACTGCGATGATCATTGTCCGCTTGGAGGCTAATTAATTGTGCATTTAATCGCTCGATTTAATGCCCGACTTGTAGAGGAAGTCTCTCTCCTCTCTTCCATACTGATTCTCCCATGTAGTTTTGTCTCTTCTTCCATTCTGATTGATGTCAGCCGTAACGCCCACGGCAATTAGTCAGCAGCGGAGGTAACTCCCAATGTTCCACGGTCAATGGCTTAGGGGGCACCGCCGCCACACACAACATTCGCACGCCCACGCCCACTTGGAACAGATTTATGGCCTTGTCCCCCTGGTGTTGTAACCAATTTTTATTTTTGTCTACTTCTAAAACTTAACAAAAATAAAACACTTTTCATTAACATGAAATTTTGGTTGTTCTTTTCCAGACCATCATCATCATCATCGTCATCGTCAGCATCATCATTGCCTGATGATGAGCACCAAGATGCAGAGGAATGCCCATAACCATGGCAGCATCAAATCTTCAGCTTCCCTCCGCTCCAGCAGCAAATCCTTTCAGGCCAAAATGGATAAAATGTCGGAGCATCTGTACGATGTTGTCAAGAGTGGTTCCATGGTGAAGCGTGCCCAGAACAAGAAGCGTTTCACACCGGTCAACTATAAGCATCGTTGGTTTGAGCTTACCAAGCGCACACTCTGCTATTTCGATGTGGAGAATGTGGAGGTAAGTGTTTTAAGGCAAACCAAGTAAGATATCGACTGAAAAATCGATCATTTTATTTATTAACTGCTCAATGAAGTGTCATTGATATTTATTTGGGTACCTATGGATATCTTTCAAAGCTTAATAGCATATAGGAATCGTTATTTATCTTAAAATTTGAGTGTTTTGATTAAATATTCGATAAGCTACAATCGTGAATCGATAATCCTAATTCATGTTTCGATCGTAGGCAGGATTATAGGCTCGTCCTTATTTTTATCGATAAATAATAATCGCAAACTAATCGCTATCATAAACCATCTCCCGATCAAAAATCGCTTCCTAATGGATGATATCAGTTATGAGTGCCACATACTTCTCCTCTTCCATACATATATCATTATAGGAAAAGTTACTCCCGTTAGCCAGTTGTCAGGCTCCCCGACAATGACACGTCTTTGTGGTCTTTGAAGGAGGCAGGAGGAGGCAGAAGGCAGAAAAGGCAAAACAGAACAAAACAGAAGAGAAATTAAAGGAGAGCCGTGTCCGTGTGCTTTCATTATTCATGTTCAAGTGTGCGTCTCATCTTGTCGTCATGGTTTCGTCATTTATTGCGTCGTTATTACGGCACCTACGCCGGCTACCAACCAATCTACGAACCATCTGGAAGGAGCGGGGCAACAGGGATGGATGTGGGTGTTAGGAAAAGAGAATGAAATGAGAGAGGAGAGAAGAGAAGAGGAGAGTGTAAAAGGTTACTCTACCACACGCAGCCGGCTGCTTTCGTTTCAAAACAAATGTCGGTATTTTTGTTGGGACACCCCCCATTCTGTACCCCTCTACCCGCTACTCTCCAACTTTCCCACACATCCTCCCTTCCAGTCTCCAGTGTACGAGTATATTGAATGGAAATGCAAAGCAACCTTTGTGGTTGGTCTACACTGTAGAGACTCTACACACACACAAAAGCAGCTGTTTCCCAACCCAAAAAAGCCGGCGAAAAACTCACCCCCAGGAAAGAGTCAGTGTCAGTCCTGTGCCAGAGTCGTATCCCTATCCCTGTCCCTGTCCCGTTTTTCGCTTCCAATTGGAAAGTAAAGTTTGGAATATCCTGGATGAACACGAACGCTTAACGTGGCTCTTGGTCGGGTGGAACGACGACAGGAGACGAATGGTTCATCGGCCTGGTGCCGGGAGTTTCTAGCGGTACTTGGTCGAGTTCGGACGTGCGTTAGATGGCACTCTCCGCGTTTTGTTTCTCTCCATTTACTCGATCTGTCTCACATTTAATTGTTAATAAATTCTTAAACAAGTAAATACATTTATTTGGAACTTTATCTGTGGTGCATCCTTTGAGACTTATTTGTGGTGCTGTTGTTTTGATGGCAAAAGGAAAAGCGTTTCCGGCTGCGCTACCCTTGAAAATTTGATTGGTTTTCAACTATTCCCCTCTGCTCTCGGGCCGCAAGCACCCACCCGAATCCACCCTTATTTCGTATATGTGTTTTTTTTATTTAGAAATTATTTTGCCGCATTTTCCATTGAAATATCGAAAATCAAACTGAAATTATGCTATAGAGTGGGTTTAATCATGAACATCCTTTTATAAGCTATAAATACTAACCGAAAGAAAGTCGTAGTTTGAAATACTTTTGCGTATATAAAAAACATACCCAAAAAACGGTGAAAAGAAAAAAACCACAAGAAAACGAGAAGAGAGAAGAGAAACCAACGCCCCACCCAAGGCACAAAGTTTTTCAAGTGTATCCTTCTGCCGCTGTATTGGTGTATCTTCGTGTGTTTGTGTGTGTGTGTGTGCGTGTTGTTGTTGCCGCACCCCGAATATCCTGTGTGCCTGTGCCTAAATTAAAAGGATTATCCACTGGACGCGTACGCCTCTGGCTGCAAAATATATCTACATAACATTGTAGCTTCTGGGGGTAAGCATTCTCTCTATGGTTTGGGATTGGCATGGCAAAGCCTTGGGGATTTTCTATAGTTTTTCCATTTATGTAGAAAGTTTTTGCATTTTCTAATTGAATTACATGATATTCTGTGTTAAGGGAGACGCCTAAAATGATGCAACAAAATTTGTTTATGGAAGGGAAATAAGAACCCTAAATGGGACATTTATTATGCGAGAATGATTAAGTTAACTCTGTTTTAGATTTTAATTAATTTTAGAAAATAATAATATGGTCTGCCTGTGTTTTATTTTAAGAAAAAAATCCATAGGCAATGGCTTACAAAAGTTTATTGATAGGAAAATGAATCGAAAACTAAAGTTAATTGTGTTTTAGATGTTATTAAATAATTCCTTAAAACTGGAAAGAGAACAGACCGAAATTTGGGACTAAAGAATGAGACTTTAAGGAGAGCAAAACAACGAAAATACAAATTAAAAATTAAGATAGACTAAAAAAGGGCAGCAAAAAATTCTCCTCCAAGATCCTCTAAAGATGGAATACCTCTCGTGACAACTACCAACGGTAGTCGCACCAGTAGCACCCCCACAACAACATGAAGTGTCAATCACTTTATTATCCTATAATATTTCCATCCATTCATTTCATTTTTTCTACCCCTGCTGCTGCTGCTGTTCGATGGGTCGGTGGGGGGGATGAGGTTCGATGAACTCATGTAGAAAATGTTTCGTTTAATTGATTGATTCACGCGGCCACCCCTTTTGTGGAACAGTGTGCAGAGGATGTGCTTCCATCTCCAGCTGCTTGCGATGGCTCTTCTTTCTTCCTTGTAATTCCATGTCCGAGCGGTCCTGTCATGTTTATTGGGGTCATAGCCTGGACATAGAGAGCGGGGCCTGATTAATGGGCCAGCCAAGTCAGCCAGCCAGTCAGCCAGTCAGCGAGTGCAACCGAGTAGCCACCAACCGGACCATCCACGTAGTCAACCTAGTCATTGCACTCCACTCCCGCCTCCTGGACTTCATCATCATCGCCGTCGTAGTCATCGTTGTTGGAGTTGGCGGAGTCGTTTGCGGACATCGTCGACGGTTGTGTCATTAACCTGTCATAAAAATCGCAGCTTGGGCTCCAATCGTAGTCCCCAGTCCCACGAGTAGAGTGTAGAATACTCCCCTCCTCCTTCTCCTTCTCCGCCCTTCCTTATTTTCTATGCCTCACCGCGGTGGTATGCTAATTGAACCTGGGACTCTTTTTGTTTGCAAACACTTTGCAGGTTCTCTACGGTCTCTCTCTACGTCTCTCCTTCTCCTCCCCTTTCGACTGGGTTCGTTCTGCTCTCTAATACATTTCGCGCAGATTAAGGCTGTAAATAACAATTTTCCTTTGAAAGGAGGCGGTTACGAATGGAGCTAATGCGTGTTAAATAGAGAAATGAAGATGGATATACTTGAAAGTGGTAGAGAGACGAAGGTGGAAATACCCTTCCTTTAGGATTATATTAAGGATTATAACTAAAATAATTTGGGATTAAAATGCATGGAAAAATATATTTTCCTGCTATATAAAAGTAGAAAAGTTTTGAGGGAAATGATAGAATTCAGAGCAGAAAAATATTAACAAAATTTTAAATATTTATGGGATCCTTAAGTGGAAATTAAAAATTGCATTTTAGTTGGAAATGTACGAATTTTATTGCTTTAAAATAACTTTGTGTAGAGTTTAATATGCTATGAACATCAGGGTTTCCTGGAAACATCAATTTATATCCAATCAAGGTGATAAATAATAAAGCGCTGCCTTTCCAAGCTCTATTTTCACTTGCCAAAAAAAGAAAATTTATAGTCGAATATTTATTTGACGATCACTCAAACGATCTCCCATATAAATTTATATTTATAGAAGAGAGATCTCTGAACTCTCTTCGTCTACAACATTCCCACATGACCCATTCGTAATTTGATCAACCTACCGTGTCGTTGTTCGATACTTGAAAGATAATTACTTTAGGTACGCATACGCATGGATGGGCAATGTTTTATGGGTTTCCCCTTGGCCGTCGTCGTCATAAAATATATATCGGCAAAAAGGGTTCGAAGAATATCTATTTCCAATGCCCAATGCCCCCATTGCCCTCTGGGCTAATGGAGGTGCCATCTGCATTTACATACTATATAACCCATTCCTCTGTTCGCTCGTAAAGTGCCTGCCCCACGACATGTGAGTGTGTGTGTGTGTGTGTGTGTGTGTCTCCTAATCCTTGCCACCACCGGTAGCCACTTTTCAAAATGAAGGCGCAAAAAGCAATATTTTTTATGACTTTTTCGGGGAGGTTTTACGACGGAACCAAAAGTGTTTCGGTGTCTGCGCTCATCAATCTGCCATAATTGTTGAGAATTTTCAATTAGACATTCAAATTTATCACCAGAAATGGACTTGGACTTGAACTAAGGGGTTCTCTCCTTCTCCTTTACCTTAAGAGGAAATAAGAGAAATTGTGTGTGTGTCCGTCTGTCTGTCTCACTGTCTCTGGGGATTATTACTCATCGTCTTGCATTTTAAAATTCTTCACGAATTGACACCTTTAGGGCCTCCATCCACCCCACCCCACCTTCTGCGCCACCGCCAGCTCCATCATCGAAATGGCTTAAAGCCGATTTCGTAGAATTACAAAAAGCCAACCCGCAGCAGCAGCTCCACCGCTGGTCACTGGTCGGATGGTTGATTCTCTTTTTTTGATTTTTTGTTGTTGTCTGACAAATTAGCAGAGTCTTTGGGCTGTCTTTGGTGTCTCGCTGTTTCGTGTGTTCAAGGTGGTCTGGTCCCGTTTCCCCAATCCACAATCCACAATCGGTTCGGTTTGTTGTCTTTATGCCTTTTATAAATCTTCTGTCTCTGCTGTGCATTTTGTTGTTGTTGCATTAAACTCGAAATTGGCGCCAAAGTCAAAATGTTTTTGATAAGCTTTAAGGGGTCCCGCCCGTCCTTCATCCTCAATGTCTCTACAGATGTCACCTCTGTCCGGGCCAGCACCACAAATGTGTGTATGGCATGTCTGCATGTCCTAAATATCATTGCCATCAGTTGCCTCCGACCACT